AAAGATTCTTGCTGATTGAAGTAATGTGATCAAAGACATACAAGCTTTCTACTAAAGAAAGCAGTGACACGTCTTCTGTCTCCGTTTATCAGATAAGTTTATCTAGAATGCGTAAAGTTTTTTCCTCCAGAACTCCATGTGGAATTTTTTTACGGATTTATCCATAAAAGGGAACATTTTCCATTAACAAATTTTTTTTTGTGGCTTTTTGTCATTTTGATTATTTCTTTTATATTTTGTCTCTGATAATTTTCATTTCATTTGAGTTATTTTAATACTTCAAGTTAAACTAAACCAAAATAAGAAATGTCGCCTTGGCAACATTGCTGAAATAAAAAAAGTATTTTTAATATTTTATTTCAGTTAAGCATTTATTTTGATTCAAGTAACACATTCTTTATGGCTTTAGTTATAGTTGTAGTTAACAATTATAACACTGCCCTCCTCGTTTATTAACATTAACCCAGTTTTTCTGAATTTTCAGTTAATAATTGTTTACGACTTTTTTTGTTCTGATTAATTTTCAGTATTCTGTTGTGCCAGCCATGCAAAATAGTAAATGTGTGACTTTGTCATGCTTTCTCTTCCCCAAAGAGAGTTCAGTTGACCTCTGTTGTGGGATTATTAATGATGGTTTTGTATATTAACTCTCTAAGCAGTTTTACAAATGATCTACAACTACAAATCATCACCAACATAATGACATCATATTGTCAGTTTGAATCAAAATAGCTATATGGTTCAGTACAGGTTAAGCTCTATGGACTGCATTTGTGGCACAGAAAGTTTGTCTCCTTTCGTTTGTAAAAACAAAGAACAGGTTTAAAGTAATGCACTTACAATGGAAGTCAAATTACTGTATTTGTGTTAGCCATAGAACTCAACTTGTAATGGCCACACCTCTTTCTCTTGCGGTGGCATTTAAGAACTCAAAAAATAAGAATGTTTTTACTTTTGTGTTGTAGATGGCATCGTTGTTCCTGCCAGCACTGGGTCGCATGGCCGTATGTGGTGGGACTCATGGCAATGAGCTGTCAGGTGTGTTTCTGGTGCAGGAGATGGAGAGACAGCGGAAGGAGAAGGGAGACAGTGTGTGGCCGATTCCCGTGACAACTGTGCTGTCAAACCCACGGGCTGTGGAAGAGTGCAGAAGATATATTGACACGGATATGAACCGCTGCTTTAGCACAGCCACGCTGAGGTGAGATGAGAGACTGCAGCACAGGCTGTTCAGTTTAATGAAATGTAGGTTAATCTCATCTCAGTCTTTCTAGTCGAAAATAATTACAAAATTAAACTACATTTAGCTAAATAAGTTTTTTTATTTTTTATTATTATTATTATTTTTAATTATACATATATAATATAATTTCTATAATGCAATTATGAGTCGCTTGAAAACAAACAAGTTCTGTATTGTGTAATGGCTAAGCTGGCAGAAGAGAAGAGTTTTTCACTGAAAAATAATGTATATTTCTGTTTCTCACATGACATAAATGTATGACTAGAAGATTTAGAATGTAGCCTAGTACACAAGAATGGACTATATATATATATATATATATATATTGTTGTCAATTTTGGAACCTGCATAGAAAAAAAAAAGCAAAACTCATTTCCTCAATTTAATTTGTTTTATCAAGTTTATATAATGTGGTGGTCTTCCCTCTTGATTAACTTAAGTTTGGATAACTTAACTCAAATTTTCCCATTTATATTGTTGCATTTACTTATATTTAACAAGTACAAAATCATTAAAACAAGTTCTTGCTTCACATCAACAGCTTTAATACGGTGTGCTCCCAAACATTTCATAGCTGAACTTTAATAAAATATTCTATATTGAATAAAATATTATTATATCTATATTAAATAAAATATATTATAGTTTTAACACAGCTTTTTTGGGAGAAATTGGCAAGGTTTGACCGAGAAATCTTACTCGCGCTCCGATGTCATTAACGTACAGAAACGTATTAACTCAAACGTGATTCCTTGCTAATAACATTAGAATAAAACGTTTTAGTTGATTAAAAAAAGTGTAGGCTATACGTATTTTAACGTTTACCTACCAATGTAACGTTATCCTAGGCCCTAGGGTGCTACTCGCACTCCTTTCTTCGTCACGACGATGAGTTCGTTTGTTGTTGTCAGACTTGTCACAGCCGTTGGTAAATTTTCAAAGACAATTATTTTCTACCAATCAGCGCGGTTGTCAGGCAGAACTTCAAGCATGACCAATTAAATTAAAGAAAGATTATTACGACTAAAATTTTAAATACATAGCTCTATAACCTTTACATTTTAAAACAAGTTAAACGTGCCTGTTTGAGTTATGAAAATATGATATTCAATACATTTTCACGCAATGTTAGGTTTACAGGCCTATTGCAAAGCAAGTAAATAGGCTATATTGCATGACGCAAATATGTGACTATGTGTAAATCTGTCATCTGTTTCTTGAAGTTCACCTATGACAGACAGCAGCCTATATGAAGTCCGACACGCTCAGGAACTAAACAATCTGCTGGGACTGAAAGGATCTGCAGATGCAATAGACATGATCTGTGACCTCCATAACACCACATCTAACATGGGCCTCACACTCATCCATTACACACCCAGTGACTGGGCGACCATGCACATCTGCAAATACTTACAGGCAAGAGCATCACAACACAAGTGTGCTTCAATTAACTCCATTCTGTAAACCAGGTCAGTTGTTCTCAGCTGGTGGGTTGTTGTTGTGACCCAATTTTGGGTCACTCACAGGTGTGATCAGATAGATAGACAAGTAGGGGGGGAGAAACAATGAGAAAATGCAAACTAACTATATAATAATGCATAGCAAAAAAAAATTGTAAATGTAAAATCTGTGTCCTGAAGTAAAACCAGTAAAGAAACACAGACCTGGATTTTTGTTTATGTGCCATTTTAAATGTGTGTACAATTCCATGAGTAGACTAGGTTTTGTTTTGTGTCTGTGCATGTGTGTTTTGATGTTGTGTGTTGTCATGTACACATTTAAGACTAAGATAACCAAAGTGCCTGTGAGAGTTCTGGTAATGGATGTCCCGATTAGTGATGCATATTCCTTGGAGTCTGTCTCCAAGCATGGCTTTTGTAAGTGATGGTGATTATCTCCTTCGAGTACTCATACAAATGCATGCTCGGATGACAAGAATCATGACCTGTGTTTCTGTAGCAATAGAGGTCGGGCCGCAGCCGCATGGTGTCGTCAGGGCTGACATCTATTTGGTTATGAAAGAGGCCGTCGACATGACAATAGACTGGATCCACAAGTTCAACTCAGGTAAGAGTTAACCAAATGTGGCTTACTTATGTATTTTCTGCAATACTATAGTAGTGAGTGTGTTTTATTTTGCTTTCAGGAACAGTATTTGAAGGCGGGGATATGGAAGCCTTCAAGTTTATCAAAAGTATCGATTATCCCAGAGATCCCGAGACTCGGACTCTCACAGCTGCTATTCATCCTCAGCTGCAGGTGCCGATCGTTCTGCTGTTTATTATATTTACACACAGAATCAGCAAAAATGTTCAGGTCATAAGAAAATTAAGCTTACTTTAGGGCCATTATTACCATTAAGGTAAATTATTAATTTTTTCATCATGGTAGCATTTGTTGTACTGTCTTTCTTACGATCTAAATTTAAAAAATGATTGTATTGCAATATATTTATGGGAATTATATAAAATGAGAAAAATTTAAGATGTCCATATACAAACGTGCTTTGTAAATTACAGAATGTCACAATGCAAATATTCTTAATGGGCTAAAAAACAATTGTCTTTAGGCAAAGTATGATTTATTTTCTTTTGATTTAGGATAAAACATAACATGTTTGAGCTACAACCAAAAATCTGAATAGTTTTTTTTTTCATGATCTTTTTGTCTAGGACAGGGACTTCTGTCTCCTCAAGCAGGGTGACCCTTTGTTTTTGTCGTTTTCTGGAGAAACTGTGAAGTATGAGGAAGAAGGGTCCCTTCATCCTTTCTTTATCAATGAGTGCGCCTACTATGAAAAGGGAATCGCTTTTCACTTGGGAGAAAAGTTGACGCTGACGATTCCAACGGTGCAAGTGAAGAAAGACTGAAGAAGAAAATATATTAAACTCTGTATGATTACCAAACCATCTAACATCAATCAGATGATTTTACTGTGAAATGAATGACAGAATGTCACTGAAATGATTAAAAACATTTCAGTCACTTATTATAACTCAGGTATACACTAGGTACTTATTTGTACAATATGAACTTTATATGACAATCAATGGCTCATTTTGATCTACTGCTAAAATCACGAGCAACAATATTTTGGATGAAAAGATATTTATTGTGACCAGCAAAAATGTTCATTTAACAGGAATGCTTACAAAACTGTATAAAAAAGGCAAAACCGTCTGAAGTATTTGGGACACCATGATGATTGTGTCACATTGGGCTGTGGAGTGTAAGGTATCCTCTTGACTGTATTGCTCATATGCTGCTGCTCTCACCTGAATGCTTTGAGAAAATCAAGCCTCTCACAGGCTTGGAATAAAAAGACAAAACAAACAGCACACTCACTTGAACAGAATATATTACATACAGAGAATAAACCATGTGGCACAATGAAATCAACTGGAGCTGGATGTGCACTGTGATTTTTACCATCGGTTTTCGCTTGTATCGTTTTACAATATGATCCTAGTGTAATCTTGGGTAAATTTTACAACCGACCGCAAAACATCAACAGTCTTTTATATCCAATTGTGCATGATATACAACAACTTAAAATGTTACCTTTGCACTAATTTCAATGTTTTGAGTGTCGTTTTGCTAATTTTTGGCTTTATATGGACTGCCTAGGAATTGTGTTGAACATTATGGGGAAAATTAACATTTCAAATAAAGTATAAATAAGGATATAAACCACAGCTGAGATGGTTTTAAATGGCTACCTGAACCATCACAAAACATAATTGGATTCTAAACAAAGTTACCAAACAAGTGTAATATTCATAATGTAATACATTCTCAAAGAGAGACTAAATGGTAAACAGTTTAACCAATGCAAAGCACAAGAAACAAAGCAATAAATAAGCACAACAAATGTTCAGGAAAACACAAAAGGCTCGAGTGGTAATGACAGATGCAAACATTCAGTCTTTTAGTCCAAGGCAAAAACCCTAGTGCATCTTGGGATTGCAAAGTGCTAAAATGCGCTAGAGTAGCTACAAAACAGGCGGAATAAAAACAGAGGTGTTTTTTTTAAAAACACAAAGAGGAAACGAAACTAACACATCTAAATAAGTTTAGTCAACAGGTAAAATGTGACCAAATAAATGATGAAGCCCTGAAGAACTAGTGGAGTGTCACTGATTATTATAGATGCTTTTGAGTCTGATTTGCTGTGGTAGCGGTTTAGTTTCTCATCTCAAACAGCAAAGATGTTAACAGAGTGGTTAAAAAGGCAGTTATAAAGTAGGAGGATCCTTCAAGAGATGCAAGTATTCACAGGAGAGTGCTATGAGTGGACGGCGCTGGTTTAACCTACTAACTTTGGGTGGTGTGTTCAGACTGTTTCCTTCATAACGTTTGCAAATAACACCTACTAGGTTAGTGGTAAAAGCAGTTGCTGAAGCTGTGCGCTTTCTGTGAGAGCAGACAATCGCTTTGGCAACTCTACAGTTAGTACTCTGTTGCCTAGGCAACCCTGTAGGCTGTCATTCGAGTGTAGTGTTGGCGGTGACTCCTCGCAGCCCATATGAAGAGCGCAGCAGCCATGATCTGCAGCGGAGACGAGATCAGGGCCAAAAACAAGGACCAGCCCGGAGAGTAGTCCATACCCTCGGGAAGCTCTGATATATTATGTAGCAGATGCACGCCCGCGAGGAAACAGCATACGGTGGCCACAGTACACAGGCCTGGGAGCAAAATATATGTTTAAATGGAATGCTTTCTTTGTCGGGGAGCTGTGGAAATAGCTGAGATTGTTATTGTTATCCCCATTTTTCCATAATGTACAGCTGTCTTACCGGCCAGCAGATGCAGGATCCCTACGAACAGGGTGGGAGTGACACTGCGGCAAAGACAGGCACACACTCCGATCAATGCCGCGAGAAACACCAGTCCAACAGAGACCAGCGGCAACAGGAACTGACACTTCCACAGGTCTGAAGACACACACACAACACAAACATCTGAAGGATTTCAGAACATAATGACAATGCAAATTACAAAACGCCCTGCCACTTGCTACAGCTGGTTGAGACAAACACTATATATATATATATATATATATATATATATATATGAACGACTTTTACAGATAGACAGATGGACAGATAGAAAGACAGACAGAAAGATAAACCATTCAAAAGTTTGATTTTGGTAAGATTTTTTAGGCTTTTGAAATCAGTCTCTTCTGTTCTCCAAGGCTGTATTTATTTGATCAAATTTCAGTAAAAACAGTAATATTGTGAAATAGTATTACAAGTTAAAGTGAATATATTGTAATTTTTTATTTATTCCTGTGATCAAAGCTGAGTTTTCAGCATCATTACTCCAGTCTTCAGTGTCACATGATCATTCAGAAATCATTCTAATATGCTGATTTGATGCCCAATAAACATTTCTTATTGCTCAATTTAATGCATCCTTGCTGAATAAAACTATTAATTTATATCTATATATAAACATTTTTTACAGACTCCAAACTTTTAAACAGTAGTGCATATATAAAACGTAATATTCTGAGTTAGGAGGACGTACAGGTACGCAGCAGATCTTCTCCACTGTTAATATTTCCAGGAGATATGAACTTGGATTCCCACTGCTGGGGCAAAGTAAAGGCCTGACATTTAGTCACCATTATCGGATCTGGAAAAGACGGATGCGGAGAGCGAGGAGAGAGACAAAGCAAAAGGAAGTTAGCATCAGTTAACCCAATAATAAATAATTAATACATAAACATAAAATACAAAGTTGAACATCCTCTCCTCACCAGGCTCTTTAAACCAGTGTGAGTCTTGGTGCACCCGAATGCAGCGCCACCAGAGACCCAGCGTGCCATTCAACCGGAACAAAGCAACACTGTAGCTCCTCTCATCCACGTCCTCTCCCTCAAAGTCCTGCCACAGGGTCCGCAGGTCTGAGCCGTTGTTGAAATCGTTGCTGGCCGGCTGACTGTGGTACTGGTACCAGTGCTGCGTTCCCATTGCAACAGAGAGATAGACGGTGGCAAGAAGGCTCAGCACAGAGCCGATGACCAGCGCTGTGGCATAGCGGTTGTCCACCATTGTTTTGATGATGTAATATTAAAAAACAACTTTCAGAAAGCCAAAAATTAACTCTTTAGTAGATGAGTGTGAGGAGAACGATCATATCATTTGGGGTTTTAAACAGAAGTTTTTTTTTATCTTCCTGTGATATCCATTGCAGAAAGTCAGATCACATCTTCATGGACGCAATCCTTCTTGAGATCTAAAGAAGTGTGTCATCTGAAACAGAGAGAAGTGTAATTAAATCACAAAGAAGTCAAACAAAGACATGTTTAATTACAAGGTACAAAGCTGAAACACAGAGCTATTAAGGAGGAGTCCTAGAGTACTCTCTTAGGAGAGTTTGATAAAGACTATCCCAGTTTTAGGATAGTCTGCACTTATTATTGTAGTATAGGCTAATCTGTTTCGGATAAAAGGCACTAAACTGCTCATAACTGCAAATTAAACTGTGGTTAGTCACTCTACTTGATAGTGACTAATTTTTAAAAAGTATAATAACAAAACTTAACATTTCTAATACCTTGGTACATGCAAAATAGACATTTATAATATTTTTAAAACGGTTTTATTGTTTGTCATCTTTATTTGTCGTTCCTTCGTATATTATTTACGAGCGCATTAAAGAGCATATTTATTGATAAACCCCTTAAAATGAGAGTTATTATGTCCAATAAAGAAATAAAAGGAAAACAAAAGTCAAACTCTTCATGAGAAAGTGCTCTTTGCCTGGTCGATGTGCTTTAATATTCAGAAAACGAGATAATAAAATAAGTGTTTAAATGCCCACAGGGCATATCATTCGATATTCAATACAATTTTGAAATATTTAACCGACACAATAGCCTAATGCTCAGTATTTCATACATTAAAGTTGCTTGACGTTGACTAACGTTAGCATAAAAGCTAACAGGCTAGTGTGTTTTTACCGACATACTCGAAACTTAGACGAATAAAAATAACGTATATAAATTTTGAGTGTTCTGTATTTCTAATACTAATGAAACTTAATATTTGGAACAACAATACCCGAAAGTTTTTTTGTTTAAATCAATCAAAACTGTTTGCGATTGTCACTTACCATATTGAACAAACCCAGCGCGCTGATGACGACTCTGTTCCGGTTACGCTTATGAATGCGCGTGCACATCACAACCTCAATCCGCACGAGCACGATTAGTGCACGTCACGAGAACAGCAGCAGAACCTGCGTGAAGAATGTGCAACCTTTATCGTTTTTCATTAAAATGTCTTCACATGCAAGGAAATTGCTGCAAAGAATAATCAATAATGCACCTGAAAGAACCATTTACCGGGTCATTAAGAATTTCAAGGAGAGAGGTTCAGCTGCAGTGAAAAAGACCTTTGGACAATAACTGGTGTCAAGAAGGACAGAAATGAAGCCACTTCTCTCTGAGAGAAACACCAAGGACAGACTGAGTACAAGGATTGGACAGCAGAAGATTGGTGCAACGTTATTTTCTCTGCTGAACCTTCCTTCCGACTGTTTGGGACAGCTGGGAAATTGCTTGTCCCGAGAAGAAAAAAAGGTGAACGCTGCCATAAGTCCTGTGTTTAGCCAACAGTGAAGCATCCTGATCCTGAGACCATCCATGAGTGAGGTTGCATCCAAGGGAGTGGGTCCTCTCTCACAATTCTGCCCAAAAACAGTGCCATGATGAATACAGAATGGCACCAACTCACTAAAACAGTTGCAGATCATTCATTACATTGAAATTTTGGGTCCGTGGCCAGGCATCTCCCCGGATCTGAATCCCATAGAGAGCCTGTGGTCAATCCTCAAAAGGCATTTGGACAGAAACCCATAAATTGCAATCAATAAGGCAAGAATGGATTGCCATTAGTCAGCGTTTGGCCCTGAAGCTCATATCCAGCATGCCAGAGCAAATTGCTTATTATCAAGAAGAATGGGTGAACACTGTACATATTGAGTCTTTGTGTATTGACATGACGTGAAGGTCCAGTATGGTAACTCATACTCAGAATTTGTCCTCTGCATTTAACCCCCCCAATTTAGTGCACACACTTTATGAGCAGTGAACACACCCAGACTGCGAACCACACTGCGGCGCCCTGGGAGCGATTGGGGGACACAAGCTCAAGGGGACCACAGTCGTGGGTTTTGATGATGTTTGTTCACATTTTCCCACCGGTATTGAGAATCGAACCCACAACTTTAGGCCACGGCTGACCCATTATTGAATGTGTTGCCAATAAAAGCCTTTAAAACTTATGAAATGCGTATCAATAGTTATACCATACAGAAACGTGAAAAAATAATCTACAGATACTGAAGCAGCAAACTTTGCGAAACACAAAATTTAAGTCACTGCCAATACTTTTCTGCCACTGCTATATTTATTACTCTCTACTTTTACTCGCTATTCCTAAATTTCTTAAAATGAAATGTTCCAAAATGTGCATGGTGTCGGTGTTGACAACAACTATTTTTGAAGGGTTTGATAATTTTCAGTCAGGCATAGTATGAGATTAGATGAGATGAGATGCATGTTGAAAGTGTTTTTTAGGTTTTCACACATCCTAACCAAAAGAGAAGGCAAAAATAAACAACAAAAGGAAGAAGAAAGTAAAAAAGTTTGCCTTCTGCAGAATAGCAGTACACATAAAACTAAATTCCGGTAAACCACCCCATTTCTAGACCCTTAAAGGGTTAGTTCACCCCAAAAATGAAAATTCTGTCAGTAATTACTCTCCCTCATGTTGTTCCAACCCCGTAAGACTTTCGTTCATCTTCGGAACACAAATTAAGATTATTTTTGATTAAATCTGAGAGCTGGATCACTCCTCCATAGGCTTCTTAAGGGATCGAAACTGACCGGCCCGAAAGTTATGAAAGACATGACATCGTTAAAATAGTCCGAGTGACTACAGTGGCTCGATCTTAAGTTTATCAAGCGACGAGAATACTTTTTGTGCGCAACAAACAAACAAAAATAACGACTTTATTCAACTATTCATTTCCTTCTCTGTACGGCCGTGATATTTCACGTAGTGAAACTGCGCAAAGCTTCTAGGTTGTACGTCACGCATCACACACATGACCAGCGTCGACCAATAGTGAGCTGCGTGTGACGTGCAACCTAGAAGCTTTGCGCAATATCACTACGTGAAATATCAGGCCCACAGAGAAGGAAATGAATAGTTGAATATGTTTTTTGCGT